ACAACCATCGGGACAACCATCAGGACAACCATCGTGACGCCATCGGAGTAACCATCGGGACAACCATCGCGACAACCATCGGGGCAACCATCGGGATAACCATCGGGACAACCATCGAGACAACAATCGGGACAACCATCGGGACAACAATCGGGACAACCATCGGGACAACCATCGGGACAACCATCGGGGCAACCATCGGGACAACCATCGGCACAACCATCTGGACAACCATCGGGTCAACCATCGGGACAACCATCGGGACAACCGTCAGGACAACCATCATGACAGCCATCGGGACAACCAGCGGGACAACAATCGGACAACCATCGGGACAACCATCGGGACAACCATCGGGACAACCGTCAGGACAACCATCGGGACAACCATCAGGACAACCGTCAGGACAACCTACGGGACAGCCATCGGGACAACCATCGGGACAACCATCGGGACAACCCTCGGGACAACCATCGGGGCAATCATTTCGACAACCATCGGGGCAACCATCGCGACAACCGTCAGGACAACCATCGGGACAACCATCGGGGCAACAATCGGGAGAACCATCAGGACAACCATCGGGACAACCATCGGGACAACCATCGAGACAACCATCGGGACAACCATCGGGACAACCATCGGGACAACCATCGGGACAACCATCAGGACAACCGTCAGGACAACCTACGGGACAGCCATCGGGACAACCATCGGGACAACCATCAGGACAACAATCGGGACAACCATCGGGACGAACCGTTGGACAACCATCGAGGCGAACCGCTGGACAACCATCGGGACAACCATCGGGACAACCATCGGGACAACCATCGGTACAACCATCGGGACAACCATCGGGACAACCATCGGGACAACCATCAGGACAACCATCAGGACAACCATCAGGACAACCATCGGGACAACCATCGGGACAAACATCGGGACAACCATCGGGACAGCCATCGGGGTAACCATCGGGACAACCATCGGGACAACCATCAGGACAACCGTCAGGACAACCTACGGGACAGCCATCGGGACAACCATCGGGACAACCATCAGGACAACAATCGGGACAACCATCGGGACAACTGTCAGGACAACCATCGGGACAGCCATCGGGACAACCATCGAGACAAACATCGGACAACCATCGGGACAACCATCGGGACAAACATCGGGACAACCATGGTGACAACCATCCGGACAACCATCGGGACGACCATCGGGACAACCATCGGGACAACCATCGGGACAACCATCAGGACAACAATCGGGACAACCATCGGGACAACCATCGGGACAACCATCGGGACAACCATCAACCATCGGGGATCAGGACAACATCGGGACAACCATCGGGACAACCATCGGGACAATCATCAGGACAACCATCGGGACAACCATCGGGACAACCATCGGGACAACCATCGGGACAACCATCAGGACAACCATCGGGACAACCATCGGGACAACCATCGGGACAACCATCGGGACAACCATCGGGACAAGTCAGGACAACCATCGGGACAGCCATCGGGACAACCAGCGGTACAACCATCGCGACAACCATCGGGACAACCATTGGCACAATCGTCAGGACAACCATCGGGACAACCATCGGGACAACCATCGGGACAACCATCGGGGCAACCATCGGTACAACCATCGGGACAACCATCGGGACGAAACCATCGGGACAACCATCGGCACAACCATCGGGACAACCATCGCGACAACCATCGGGACAACCATCAGGACAACCATCAGGACAACAGTCGGGACAACCATCAGTTTAACCATCGGGACAACCATCGGGGCAATCATTCCGACAACCATCGGGGCATTCATCGGGACAACTATCGGGGCAATAATTTCGACAACCATCGGGACAACCATCGGGACAACCATCGGGACAACCATCGGGACAACCGTCGGGACAACCATCGGGACAACCATCAGAACAACCATCGGGACAACCATCGGGACAACCATCGGGACAGCCATCAGGGCAATTATCTTGACAACCATCGGGACAATCATCGGGACAACCATCGGAACGAACCGCTGGACAACCATGCGGGACAAATATCGGGACAACCATCGGGACAACCATCAGGACAACCATCAGAGCAACCATCGGGACAACCATCGGGACAGCCATCGGGACAACCATCGGTGTAATCATTTCGACAACCATCGGGACAACCATCGGGACAACCATCGGACAACCATCTGGACAACCATCGGGACAACCATCGGGACAACCATCGGGACAACCATCAGGACAACCATCGGGACAACCACTGGGCAACCATCGGGACAACCACCGGGACAACCATCGGGACAACCATCGGGACAACCATCGGGACAACCATCGGGACAACCATCGAGACAACATTCGGACAGACATCGGGACAACCATCGGGACAACCATCGGGACAACCATCGGGGCAGCCATCGGGACAACCATCGAGACAACCATCGGGACAACCATCGGGACAACCATCGGTACAACCATCGGGACAACGATCGGGACAACCATCGGGACAACCATCGGGACAACCATCGAGACAACCATCGGGACAATCATTTCGACAATCATTTCGACAACGTTCGGGACAACCATCGGGACGAACCCCTGGACAACAACCCGGACAACCATCGGGACAACCATCGCGACAACCATCGGGACAACCATCAGGTTAACCATGAGGACAACCATCGGGACGACCATCGGGACAACCATCGGGACAACCATCGGGACAACCATCAGGACAACAATCGGGACAACCATCGGGACAACCATCGGGACGACCATCAGGACAACCATCGGGACAACCATTTCCACAACCATCGGGACATCCATCACGACAACCATCGGGACAACCATGCGGGACAACCATCGGGACAACCATCGGGACAACCATCGGGACAACCATCGGGACAACCATCGGGACAACCATCAGGACAACCATCGGGACAACCATGCGGGACAACCATCGGGACAACCGTCAGGAAAACCTACGGGGCAACCATCGGGACAACCATCGGGACAACCGTCAGGACAACCATCGGGACAACCATCGGGACAACCATCGGGACAACCGTCGGGACAACCATGGCTCAATCATTTCGACAACCATCGGGACAAACATCGGGACAATCATCGGAGCAATCATTGCGACAACCATCAGGACAACCATCGGGACAACCTTGGGGACAATCATCTCGACAATTATCGGGACAACCATTGGTACAACCATCGGTACAACCATCGGGGCAGCCATCGGGACAACCATCGGGACAACCATCGCGACAACCATCGGTACAACCATCCGGACAAACATCGGGACAGCAATTGGACAACCATCCGGACAACCATCCGGACAACCATCCGGATAACCATCGGGACAACCATCAACCATCGGTACAACCATCGGGACAACCATCGGGACAACCATCGTAGCAACCATCGGGACAACCATTGGGACAACCATCGTGACGAACCGCTGGACAACCATCGGGACAACCATCGGGACAACCATCGGGACAACCATCGGGACAACCATCGGGCCAACCATCGGGACAACTATCGGGGCAACCATTGGGACAACCATCGGGACAATTATCGGGACAACCATCGGGACAACCATCGAGACGAACCGCTGGACAACCCTCGGGACAACCATCGGGGCAACCATCGGGACAACCATTGGGACAACCATCGGGACAACCATCGCGACAACCATCGGGACAACCATCAGGACAACTATCGGGACAGCCATCGGGGCAGCCATGGGGACAACCATAGCTCAAATGATCGCGACAACCATCGGGGCAACCATCGGGACAACCATCGGGACAACCATCGGGACGAAACCGCTGGACAACCATCGGCACAACCATGCGGGACAACCATCGCGACAACCATCGGGACAACCATCAGGACAACCATCAGGACAACTATCGGGACAACCATCGGGACAACCATCGGGACAACCATCGGGACAACCATCAGGACAACAAACGGGACAACCATCGGGACAACCATCGGGACGACCATCAGGACAACCATCGGGACAACCAATTCCACAACATTCCACAACCATCGGGACATCCATCACGACAACCATCGGGACAACCATGCGGGACAACCATCGGGACAACCATCGGGACAACCATCGGGACAACCATCGGGACAACCATCGGGACAACCATCAGGACAACCATCGGGACAACCATGCGGGACAACCATCGGGACAACCGTCAGGACAACCTACGGGGCAACCATCGGGACAACCATCGGGACAACCGTCAGGACAACCATCGGGACAACCATCGGGACAACCATCGGGACCGACCGCTGGACATCCATCGGGACAACCATCGGGACAGCCATCGGGACCATCGGGACGAGCCATTTTTGTTGCATTGGATGAAGGGGTGCTGCGAGTATTTCGGATGGACGATGGGGCATAATCACGTGCAAATTGCATAGCAAAGGTGAGCGGTGAAATCGGGGGGGCGATCACAGTAGTCTTTTGGATCGGAGAGTCTATGTTGTGCAATATGGGCGGCGACGGGGCGGAGAAGGTGACAACAACAGACGGGAAGGATCGATGGGCGGGCAGCGGGGGGAAGGCGATGGGGAGGAGGGGCAAACGGGGGAGGGGTGGGAGGGGAAGAGGATGAATGGGGACGACTGGAAGGGGGAGAGATGGACGGAGGGAGAGAGGAGGCGAGGAGGCGGTGGAGGGGAGGAGGACGGGAAGAGGAGGGAGGAGGAGGAGGAGCAGCCAGCAGCCGCAGCAGCACCGGGAGGACCAGCCCTGAGAGGAGGGAGGGCAAATAGGACGCAGGCGAGGACGATGGAGGAGGACGCCTCCTGCTCCGCCGCCACCCGTTCCCGATGGGCCCGTGGGTGTTGCCACCTGCTGCGACTGCGTGGGGCATTTCCCCCGCCCTGCTCCCGCAACGCGCTCGCCGTTCCGCAGGGCCGCAGGGGCCGCGGGCTGGCCACGGGTCGGCGGCGCGCGCAGAGGTGCAGGGCGAGGGGGAGGGGCGCCTCCCGAGAGGTCCGAGCGGGCGTTTTCGCCCCTTTGAGGCCTCCTCCTCCTCCTCCTCCTCCTCCTCCTCCTCCTCCTCCTCCTCCTCCTCCTCCTCCTCCCCCTCCTCCTCCTCCTCCTCCTCCTCCTCCTCCTCCTCCTCCTCCTCCTCCTCCTCCTCCTCCTCCCCCTCCTCCCCCCTTTGAAGCCGCCGCAGAGGTCTCCTGAAGGGCGGGAGAGGGGGCAGGGGCAGGACCCCCGTGCCGACTCGGGAGGCAGCCCCATTGCAGCCCCAGACACCCTGCCCTCTTCCTGCGCGCCGCCAGAGCCGAGACATCCGGCGACGCGCTGCATCGAAGCAACGGGCCTGGACCGCTCGAACCCCTGGACGACTCCATTCATCCCATGGCCGCTCTGCGTTGCGCCCCCCCGGGCTGAATCGCGGGACACCAGAGGCCCAGCACGTCTCAGCGACGCGTACGAGTGAACTTCCGCCGGAGTGGCACTTGATGCGGGCCCTCGCCCCAGCATTGGCCGGCGCGCTTGGATTTGCCCCCCCCCCCCCCCTGCGCACCAGAGGTCGCTGCTGCCCAAGTGCACGATTGAGAGCAGCAGAATTCGCAGACCTTTTTTTTGCCCTGGCGATAGCAGGCGCGAGCCTGGGGGGGGCGGGAGGGGAGCGGGCCGGTCACGTCGCGATTCGCACCGGCGCCGTCCGGGAATGCTCGGGAATGGCTAACTAACAGACGGCGCCGGCGCGAATCGTGACATGACCAGGGGGGAAGGGATGGTTACGTGTTCAAGACATGTGATTGGGCGGCAATGTTGAAGGTCTCGAACGTGATGGATCGTGCCAGAGATTGTGATGTGCGGTGCCGTGCTGGGATGAGATATGTCATGCCGCGATGACTTGCATTGTGCTCTGTAGTGTTGTGGATCAAGTCGCCCTTGGAATCCCAACACTGACGGAGCTAATCTGGATCTTAAGCTCGAGCTGTTTGAGCAAATAGACGGCCCAGAGCTTGTTGCGGTCGAAACGTCTCGGACGCTCGATCATCTCGAGATCCAGATCCGATGCAGTTCCGAAGCGGGACGAGACGACACGGGGCGCCGCGCGCATGGACGCGCCACTGGACGTGCCAGGGGAGCACCAGGGGACGCGCCAGGGGACGTGCCAGGGGCGTTAGGCACCCACGTGCTTTCACGCGTGTCCCGCTCGGGGGCGTTAGGAACCCACGTGTTTTCACATGTGTCACGCTCTGGGGCGTCAGGAAACCACGTGTTTACACGCTTGTCCCGCTTTGGGGCGTTAGAACCCCACATGTCTTCACACGCTTGTCCCCACTCTGGGGCGTTAGGAACCATGTGTTTTCACGCTTGATCCGCTCTGGGGCGTTGGGAACCATATGTATTCACGCTTGTCCAGCTCCGGGGCGTTAGGACCTCAGGTGTTTTCACGCTTGCCGTGCTCTGGGGCGCCAGGAACCTATGCGTTTTCACGTTTGTCCCGCTTTGGGGCGTTACGGCTCCAGTTGTTTTAACGCTTGTCCCGCTTTGGGGCGTTAGGACCCCGCGGTTGTTCACGCTTGCCCCGCTCTGGGGCGTTAGCACCCCACGCGTTTTCACGCTTGTCCCGCCCTGGAGTGTTAGGCACACACGTGTTTTCACACGCGTCCCGTTCGGGGGCGTTCAGCGCCCACGTGTGTTCACGCTTGTCCCGCTCTGGGGCGTCAGGAACCCACGTGTTCTCACGCTTGCCCTGCTCTGAGGCGTTGGGACCCCAGGTGTTTTCACGCTGGCCCCTCTCTGGGGCGTTAGGCACCCAGGTGATTTCACGCTTGCCGTGCTCCGGGGCGCCGGGAACCTACGTACTTTCACGTCGGTCCCGCCATGGGGCGTTGGGACCCCACGTGCTTTCACGCTTATCCCGCTCTGGGGCGCCAGGACACCATGTGTGTTTTTCACGCGTGTCCCGCTCCAGGGCGTTAGGACCCACATGTTTCACGTTTGTCCCGCTCTGGGGCGTTGGGAACCATATGTTTTCACGCTTGTCCCGCTCCGGGGCGTTAGGAAACCACGCGTGTTCACGGTTGTCCCCACTCTGGGGCGTTAGGAACCCACGTGTTTTCACTTTGGCCCCTCTCTGGGGCGCCAGGAAACCATTTGTTGTTTCGCTTGTCCCGCCATGGGGCGTCAGGACCCCACATGTTTTCACGCTTGCCCCGCCCTGTCGCGTTAGAACCATGTGTTTTCATGTTTGTCCCGCTCTGGGGCGTTGGAAATCGATATGATTTGTAGTTTGTCCTGGTCTGGGGCGTTAGGAACCTGCGTGTTTTCACGCTTGCCCCGCTCTGCAGCGCTAGTACGCCCTATGCTTTCACGCTTGTCCATCTCTGGGGCGCCAGGGAGCCATGTGTTTTCACGCTTGTCCCGCTCTGAGGCGCTAGGGCAATTTATGGGGATTCGCGTAAACCACAGGAGTCGAGCCCTAGGACAGTACCAATATTTAGGATACAGCAAGCGTTTCGCTGGAGACATCCCTAACAAATACTGCAAAACAAGCGCTTCGCTCCAGACATCCGCAACCGACGAGAATCAACTTGACCACGTGTTTGAGCGATCGGAATTCCAAAAACCAGCGTTCCTTGCTCGGGACATCCTCCACTGTAATCCGCCGACCCTCTTCGAACTCGTTATTTTTATCAGGGAGAGAATCCGCAGGCCCTCATCAAGCTTGGCACCGGGAACAAATTACCAAGCTCAACGAGAACCATTGGCCCATGAGCCCTTATTCTGGGAACAAGACCACCTTGGCATCGCTCGGACGTGTGCAATTTTCCTTCGGCGAGGACCACTGAGGAGCATCCTTGATCGTCTGGCGAGACGCACGAAACCGAAAAAAGCACAGGGAATGGACGTCCGAGCGATGGCCAACCACCCCAACCCCCATCGGTGGCGTCTCGCCCACGGCCCTGGGCGCCCCTCTCTACAGCCGCGCCCGCTTCGAGTTCCTCCCCTGGGTGCGCTCACTGAACGGCTTCGCCCGTCGGTGCTTCTGCCCGCTCGGCTGCTTCGGAGCGTCGCCGACGGTGCCCGTGGCGCCGGATGTCTGGCGCGCAGCGCGGGGGCCCCACTCCTCGGCTGCCCTGGCCGAGGCGAGCCGCGCGGCGCGATGGCGCCGCGGTGGCTGCCGGCGGCGGTGCTGCTGGCCACCTGGCGCCCCGTGCTCAGCAGGGCCGCGCTGCCGCCGGCGCCCATCGTGGTGGCGGAGGCGGTCGTCGTCGTCGTCGTCGTCGTCGTCGTCGTCGTCGTCGTCGTCGTCGTCGTCGTCGTCGTCGTCGTCGTCGTCGTCGTCGGCGGGCGGCTGCGTGATGTCGCGGCGCTGTTCCTCGGGCGGTGGGTGGGTGGGAGGGGATGGGAATGGAGGAGGAAGGACGGAGGGGGAAGGACGGAGGGGGAGGAAGGAGAGGGGAGGAGGGGCGTGGAGGAGGGAGGGGGAGGCGGAGGAGGGGCGAGGAGGAGTATGAAGAACAGTAAGCAGAGTCCGACTCTGCCTCGCTCCACCCTCCCAAAGAGCGATGCGCGATGCGTCAGGCGTGTAGGGACGAGGATGGCCAGGAGGAGGGAGGAGGAGGAGGAGGAGGAGGAGGAGGAGGAGGAGGAGGAGGAGGACTCCCATCCCTTACCATGGCGCAGATCCCCTCTCTACTCGCTCAGTCGGATGTCGAGCAGGGCAATGATCCCGAAAGGGTACGCGATGCATTGTAGAGCACGGCATGGCATGGCGTAGAAGAGCACCGCAAAGCGTAGTATCAACCTAGCATTGCATTGCATGCCGTGGCATTGCATGGGAAATGACGCCAGCGCTGCAGCGGGAGCACGAGTCGAAACGAGCGGAAGCGCGGAAATGAGGCCAGCGCTGCAGCGGGAGCACGATTCGGAACGAGCGGAAGCACGGAAATGATGCCAGCGCCGCAGCGGGAGCACGATTCGGAACGAGCGGGGCCCGAAGATGAGGCCGGCGCCTCAGCCAGAGCAGCATTTTGAAACAAATGCAGGCGAAAACCCAACTCCGGGGAAACCTGTGTGTAAAAAAACAGTACGCGGGGGGGGGGTCGGCCACTTTCAAACCGTCATCAGGGGAAGAGGGAGAGTAGTATTCATATTGAGTCATTGTTGAGGAGGAGGAGGAGGAGGACGAGGAGGAGGAGGAGGAGGAGGAGGGAACAGGAGGGACAGCAGCAGCAGGACGCAGGAATGGGGGAGGCAATGGGGAAAGAGCAGCAGCAGGACAAGGGGGAGGAGCGGCGATCAGGAGGAGGAGAAGGAGGATCCAGGCTCGAGGATCCAGATTCGAGGATACAGGTTTGGCAGGTTGGTCGTCTGTTTTGGACCTCCTGAAGGCTTCTCTTCGCCACGCCTGGATTCCCGTCGAAGTTCTGCCCTTCTACGCACCCCCAGACGGGTTCAGGGGTCGATTCCATCGGGAGGAAGAGGATCAGCAGCAGCACCACCACCACCACCAAGAGGGGGGAGGAGCAGGAGGAGAAACCGGAGGAGACGGAGCAGGCGGAGGGAGCAGCAGGAAGACGGAAGGAGGTTCCAAGGAGGATGAGGAGGAGGAAGAGGAGGACAAGTGTAAACCCAAGAGTCATCAACGATGTTGGAATAAACCATCCCTCCAAGCACCCTCTTCATAGGCCCCGAAAAAAAGCTTCCTGGGGGCGCGGTCCGGTGCCACGTCCGGAGGCACGTTCCCTGACGCGTTCCCTGGCACTGCTCTTAGCGCGTCGCCTGGCATGTTCTCTCGCACGTTCCGTGGCGCGTCTCGTGGCGAGTCCCCTTGGCACGCCGCGCGGCGCGTACCCTGGAACGTCCCGTGGCATGTCCATTGGCACGTTCCGTGGCGCGTCCCCTTGGCACGTCTGGCGGTGCGTCCCCATTGCACGTCCCCTGGCACGTCCGCTGGCGCGTCCCTTGAGACGTTCCGCGGCGCGTGCCCGATTGCATATGCAATTGAGGTCCGTAGGAACTGTTCCCAAGCCTCGCAATTCTAAATCCCTTTGCGGGTTCGTGGGTCGCTCATGTCAAAACAAATCGTTTCGCGCGCGCCCGCTCGAGGAGAATGAGCCCCCATATCTCGGATCCTCGGTAAATGACGGGGTCCGCAGGCACACGTTTTGCAAAGTAAAAACGGGGTGCGGAGCGTTTTGCGCAGAATCCGCGTCAAACATGATGTCTGGAGGCCTTGAAATTCGCCAGACCATTCAAAATACAGTTTTTGCGTGCCCGCTCATGCATGGCGCTTGTTGCGCGCAGAATATCTGAGGATGTCTCGAGCGAAGCGCTCGTTTTGCAGAACTTGGGGGGCCTGGGCGCTCCAGGCTGCCCAGGTGATTCTGGGAGTGCGTAAGCATAATTACTTACCAAGAGTCGTGGCCGTGGGAGCGCGGACGCCGTGTAATGTACAAGGGGTCCTGGCCCTGCGAGCGCAGACAAGATGTAATTTACAAGGGATCCTGGCACTGGGAGTGCGGGCGCAACGTAATTTACGAGGGATCGTGGCCCTGGGAATGCGGAGGCCGCGTAATTTACGGCGGATCTTGGCACTGAGAGCGCGGACGAAGCGTAATTTACGAATGATCTTCGCCCTGGGAGCGCGATTCCAATGTAATTCACGAGGGATCTTTGTACTGGTAGCGCGAAGCCCGTGTAATGTACAAGGGGGTCGTGGCACTGGGTGCGTGCATCCTGCTTAATTTAAGAAGGATCTTCGCCCTGGGAGCGCGAATCAAGCGTAATTTGCAAGAGGTCTCGGCTTTGGGAGCGCGAAGCCAGCGTAATTTACGAGAGATCGTGGCCCTCGGGCGCGTTCCCTGGCACGTTCCCTGGCGCCTCCCCTGGGCACGTCGCGCGGCGCATCCCCGGCACGTCCCCTGCAACGTCCATTGGCACGTTCCGTGGCGCGTCCCCCTGGCCTGGCACGTTCCATGGCGCGTCCCCTTGGCACGTAGCTCGGCGAGTCCCCTGGCATTTCCTCTGGCACGTCCACTGGCACGTCCCGTGGCGCGTCCCCTGGCATGTCACTGCGCGGCGCGGCACAGCGCAGAGAAGCACAACACAGCACCCGGAACAGTAGCATCACCATTGACACCTGGCACGTTCCCTGGCGCCTCCCCTGGGCACGTTCCGTGGCGCGTCCCCCTGGCACATCGCGCGGCGCGTCTCCTGGCACGTCCCTTGGCACGTCCACTGGCACGTCCTGTGGAGCGTCCTCTGGCATGTCACTGCGCGGCGCGGCACAGCCCAGAGAAGCACAACACAGCTCCATGGCACGGAAGCATCACCATGGATCTCTTCAACATTGCCAGTGCCCATCGCCCAAAGGAGGTGCTTGGAGCGTTCCCAGGTCTCGTAGTTCTGAATCCGTTTCCGGGCTCGTGGGTGGATCATGTTTGCGTCCCCGCTCGAGGATGGCGCCTCCTGCGCGCAGATGTTTTGAGGATGTCTCTACCGACACGCTCGTTTTGGAGAAGTGATGAGGCCGTCCCTTTCGCCCCAGTCCTTTTCGCTTCAGGGCGGAAGAAGCGTGACAACACGTGGGTCCATTTCGCCTCAGGGTACGGCAAGCGTGAAATCACGTGCGTTCCTTTCGCTTTAGCGCAGAACAAGAGTGAAAACACGTGGGTCCCTTTCGCCTCAGGGCGGAGCACGCGTAAAAACACTCCCTTACGCTTGCTCCGCTTTGGGACGAAAGGGGCCCACATGTGTTCATGCTTGCTGTGCTCTGGGACGAAAGAGACCCATGTGTTTTCACGCTTGCTGCACTCTTGGGCGAAAAAGGCCCACGTGTTTTCTGTTCCAGAAAGCGTTACTTCCCCCCCCCCCGCCCTTCCCCCCCAGACACCGCGGAATCAGACAGGAGCAACGCACGGCGGACCCATGAACGAAGACATTACGACAGGACCGCGCTCCCAAGGCCACGATCTATCTCTCGTGAATTACGCTGCGTCCGCCCTCCCTGGGCTACGATCGCTGGTAAACTACACTACGCCCGCGCTCCCAAGGCAACGATCCATCGTAAATCTCGCGGCGTCCGCGCCCCCAGGGCAGCGATCCCTAGTAAATGACACGGGAGTCACGCTCTCAAGGCCAAGGTCCTCAGAAAATTAAGGTGCGTCCGCGCTCCCAGGGCCATGATCCCTCGTAAACTGCACGGGGTTCACGCCCCTGGGCCAGGATCCCTCGTAAATTACGTTGCGTCCGCTCCCTGGGCCGCGATCTCTTGTAAACTACGCTGCGTCCGCGCTCCCAGGGCCACGTTCGCCATTAAATTATGCCGGGTCCGCCCCCCCAGCGCCACGACCCCTCCTAAATCGCACGGCGCCCGCGCTCCCAGGGCCACGATCCCTTGCAAAGGCACCGCGTCCGCGCCATCATGGCCACGATCCTTCGTCAACGACGCTCTGTCCGCGCCCCCCGGGGCAGGATCCATCAGAAGTTACGCCGCGTCCGCCCTCCCAGAGTCAGGACCCCTTGTAAATTGCGCTGCGTCCGCGCTCCCAGGGGCCACGATCCAGCGTACATTGCTGTGCGTCCGCGCTCCCCAGGCCACGACCCCTCCGAAAATTACACCGCGTCCGCGCTCCCAGGGCCACGATCCACTGCAAATGACGTGGCGTCCGCGCTCCCGGGGCCGCGCTCCCTCGTAGATTGCGCTGCTGTCTGCTCTCCCAGGACCGCGCTCCAGCGTGTATTGCCATGTGTCCGCGCTCCCAGGGCCGCGTTCCCTGGTAGATTGCAGCATGTGCGGGCTCCCAGAACCGCCGGGGCACCCCTGGGGGCGCCCCGGGGCCGCTCAAGCTCTGCAGAACCAGCGGCTCGCTTGAGACATCCTCGGATAGTCGGCGAAGGGGCGCGCCATGCTTCAGCGGGCACGCAAAAAGTAGATTCTTCCACTGTCTGACACATTTCAAGGCCTCCAGACCGAGGTGTTTGATCGTGGATTCGGCGCACAACGCTCCGCACCCTGTCTTTTTTTTTTACCAAAAAAAGAGGGAACATGTGTCTGCGGACCCAGTTATTGATCGAGGCTCCGAGATAGGGGGCACATGGTTTTTCCAGCGGGCACGCGCGAAACGCATTTTCTCGACGCCGAATTGGATTGTACATGGTTTTCCATCGAGCGGAAATTCGCAGGCCTTCTTCAAGTCGTCCCCAGGGGTAATACCTACTGAAAGAGAACCCTGGGCGGGCGCCCTTTCCGGGAAAAATGCACGTCGTTCTCTATCGCAAACAACGCCGCCAGCCCGCTTTAAGTCGATTCGGGGGTAAGCAGCTCAAAGACAACCCTGGGCCCAAGCCCTTTCCAGGAAAAGTCAACACGCCCATGTTTTTTGTGTAGGCAAGTGTGGTATTCAGACCACGTTCTGTATCGCGGATTCTGCGGAAAACGCTCCCCACCCTTTTTTTTCACTAGGGACAACGACAGTCAGCGGACCTGGTTAGTTATCGCGGATCCGACACGCGAAACACATTCTTTCTTCGCAGACTGCGATTGAATTTCGTGACCAATCGAGTGGAACTCCGCCGGCCTCCCCTGACATGGCACCCAGAGGCAGGTTCACACACTAAAAGAGATACCTGGGCCTACGCCTTCTCCCGGAACAACCCAACATCACATTAGAAAGTTTGAATCCTCGATCTTCCTCCTTGCTCGTCACCCTCTCTCCTTCTCCCTCATCCTCTTCGTCCTGCTCCTCGATCCTCTTCCTCTTGCCACATCCCCGTGGGCTCTCTTCCGAGCCCATTTGGCGTCTCAGCCCGTTCGGCCGCCGAACGGGCTCGCCGTCTGGAGCGACTCCGTTCCAGCGGGCTAGTTGCAAGTCTGGCCAGTTCGGAAGCTCGCGGGCCAGACCATCTCTTCTGTTATTTACCCCCCTCATCCATTCTTCCTCTGTCCCCCTACCCCCCCCATCCCTCCTCCCACATTGCTTCTTCCTCCGCCCTCTCACTTCTCCCATCTTTCCCTCCTTCCCTCCCCTCCTACTCCCGCCTTCCCACCTTCCTCCCTCCTTCTCCCTCGTCCTTCTTCTCCCTCGTCCTCCTCCTGTCCACTCCCCCCCCATCCCCCCATCCCCCTCCATCTCCCCATTCTCTCAATCTCCCCCGTTCCCCTCCTCCATCATCTGCCACCGTTTCCTCCTCTCTGCCGCCCTTCCCCCTCCCTACAGTCCCTCATCCTCATCCCCCCTCCGCTCTCCCCCCTTCCCCCAGGGAAGTTGCGGGTACCCGGCGTGCGCGAAGCACAAGATCGCCTGCCAAACGAAGAAGGCGCGCGCGCTGGCATCGACGGTGATCGGTCTCCCTCCTAGCTCTTCGAGTCTCAACTGTGCAATGAAATTAGCTAGTTGTGTCTCGAGCAGGGCGAGCAACGAATATGTATGATTGCGGTCCTCTTATCTCTATTCCTCTTAATCCCTCCCTTGTCTTCTTCCTGGCAACATCAAGCTCAGTAGGTTGGTGCATGGACGTGACCCCAAGTTGAACCAGTCCATAGCTCCCGTGCTGCCTGCGCCAACCTTGCCACTGGGGAGGCCCGGCAGAGGTCACCCCTAGGCTTGCATGGGCCCCCCGCGCCGTCTCTCGATGCTCGGCTCTCCTGCGCACACTGCGGCCCATGCGACGCCCCTCAGTGCGGCCCATGCGACGCCCCTCCTCCTCCTCCTCCTCCTCATCCTCCTCTCCTCCTCCTCCTCCTCCTCCTCCTCCTCCTCCGCCTCCTCCTCCTCCTCCCTCCTCTCCTCCTCCTCCTCTCCTCCTCCTCCTCCTCCTCCTCCTCCTCCTCCTCCTCCTCTCCTCCTCCTCCTCCTCCTCCTCCTCCTCCCCTCCTCCTCCTCCTCCTCCTCCTCCTCCTCTCCTCCTCCTCCTCCTCCTCCTCCTCCTCCTCCTCCTCCCTCCTTCCTCCTCCTCCTCCTCCTCCTCCTCCTCCTCCTCCTCCTCCCCATCCTCCTCCTCCTCCTCCTCCTCCTCCTCCTCCTCCTCCTCTCTCCTCCTCCTCCTCCTACCTCCTCCTCCTCCTCCTCCTCCTCCTCCTCCGCCTCCTCCTCCTCCTCCTCCCTCCCTCCTCCTCCTCCTCCTCCTCCTCCTCCTCCTCCTCCTCCTCCTCCTCCTCCTCCTCCTCCTCCTCCTCCCCCCCCTCCCCCCCTCCCCCACCTCCTGCACACCCCCCCCCTCCGTGCGGCCCATATGCGACGCCCCTGGCGTGGTGCCCACTTGGAGAGCGCGCGGCGCGCTCGCGGAGCGCGGCCGGCCCTTCCCCCTTGCTGCTCTTGTCGCTCCTCCGGTACCGCTCGGAGGCAGGCCACCGCCGTACAGTGCCGTTTTAATGCATGCTCCGCGTGCGGATCGTGTATTAAAAATGCTGCAGGGATTTAGCGTTAAAAGCAACGATGAGTTCGTGGATATATTCATTCCTAGATTCATCATGTACTCAAAATCCCATATGTTTGAAAATCCGATGTCTGAAAAACTGCCCTGTAATCTCAGCCTCAAAATTGCAAAGGGAGGACACACACACACGCGCGCCCTCCCCCTCTCAGGAAGGGAGGGGCAGTGCCCCCGGCGGCGAGAGATGCATCGCTCTTCCCCACTCGGTGTTGTGACCCCCAGCCGGCGTTCCAGTTTCTGGTGCCTGCCACGGTTCGCGCGACGTCGAGAGGCGCGGCTCAGGCGTTTCCTCCCTCGTCCCTCCTTTCTCCTTCCTTCCGAGGCGGGCATTCATACATGACCACCGCCCGGAGGGTCCGTCTTCGGAGCCTCGGCAGGCGGCGGACTTGGACATGTTCGGGCCCCCGGGGGCCGAACTATATTATCCATCACGGCCCCCGAGGCGGCGCGCCGCCGGGGCCCGGGTGCCGTCCACGGGGGGGCGAGGGCCTGGCGGAGGAGGAGGAGGAGGAGGAGGAGGAGGAGGAGGAGGAGGAGGGAGGAGGGAGGAGGAGGAGGGAGTAGGGAGAGGGACATGTTCGGGCCACCGGGCCGAATATATCACATCACGTCCACCGCCGCTGGGGACCAGGGGGTGTTCCCGGGCGGGGGTATGGATCAAATCCCCGCCTCGCCTTTTTTTTTTTTTTCCTACTCCCCCCTCTCCTCCTCCTCCTCTCTCCTCCTATCCTCCCTCCCCTCCTCCTACTCCTCTCCTCCTCTTCCTCTCTCCTCCTCCTCCTCCTCCTCCCCTCCTCTCTCCTCCTCCTCCTCCTCCTCATCCTCCTCCTCCTCCTCCTCCTCCTCCTCCTCCTCCCCTCCTCCTCCTCCTCCTCCTCATCCTCCTCCTCCTCCCTCCTCCTCCTCCTCTCATCCTCCTCCTCCTCTCTCCTCCTCCTCCTCCTCCTCCTCCGTCCTCTCTCCTCCCTCTCCCCTCCTCCTCATCCTCCTCCTGCTCCTCTCCTCTTCCTCCTACTGCCCTCATCCGGGGCCAGCCTGACCTGAGGCCTACCCTCCTCCTCCCCTCCTCCTCCTCCTCTCCTCCTTCCTCTCCTCTCCCCCACTCCCCCCCTCCCCACCTCCGCACCCCCCCCCTCTCCGTGCGGCCCATATGCGACGCCCCTGGCGTGGTGCCCACTTGGAGAGCGCGCGGCGCGCTCGCGGAGCGCGGCCGGCCCTCCCCCCTTGCTGCTCTTGTCGCTCCTCCGGTACCGCTCGGAGGCAGGCCACCGCCGTACAGTGCCGTTTTAATGCATGCTCCGCGTGCGGATCGTGTATTAAAAATGCTGCATGGATTTAGCGTTAAAAGCAACGATGAGTTCGTGGATATATTCATTCCTAGATTCATCATGTACTCAAAATCCCATATGTTTGAAAATCCGATGTCTGAAAAACTGCCCTGTAATCTCAGCCTCAAAATTGCAAAGGGAGGACACACACACACGCGCGCCCTCCCCCTCTCAGGAAGGGAGGGGCAGTGCCCCCGGCGGCGAGAGATGCATCGCTCTTCCCCACTCGGTGTTGTGACCCCCAGCCGGCGTTCCAGTTTCTGGTGCCTGCCACGGTTCGCGCGACGTCGAGAGGCGCGGCTCAGGCGTTTCTTCCCTCGTCCCTCCTTTCTCCTTCCTTCCGAGGCGGGCATTGATACATGACCACCGCCCGGAGGGTCCGTCTTCGGAGCCTCGGCAGGCGGCGGACATGGACATGTTCGGGCCCCCGGGGGCCGAACTATATTATCCATCACGGCCCCCGAGGCGGCGCGCCGCCGGGGCCCGGGTGCCGTCCACGGGGGGGGCGAGGGCCTGGCGGAGGAGGAGGAGGAGGA